TAACGTAGAAATTTATTAACAAAAGAATTCAATAATAAAAAAAAATTGTATAACGTTATTAGTGGTCTAATATCTCCTGATTTTCAGAGATTAGGATTTCACATTTACTTAAATATAATTATGTGACAATAACACATTCATACCTAGAAATACCAAAGACTTCATATCCTATAGGACAGTTTTGAGAAGAAATATGACACATGACTGTGATATTCAAACAAATATAACTTTTGGCAGAGAAACGTAAAGGAGAACTGTTGCTTCTCTGGAAAATACACCATTTAATAAAACATTAAATATCACCCATAACTTGTGTTAAACTGTAATGTTTCACGTGAGGCTTTATTTTCCTTTAAATATATATATGAAACATTTAGCAAATGACATCATAAACCAGTCTAATCTAGGCACAGCCGGGGCACATAATTACTGCCAGACACAAAGGACAGAGCTTATATCACTGACACATAGGGAGCTAAGATGGAGGTGCCCAGAGCGTAGACTACAGTTTTGGGGAAAACACTTTCAATTTAATCGAGAAGCTGGATTTTATACTAACAGAATGGAGGGGGGAGACATTTAACACTTCACATGCACTCTAGCAGCCAAGCAGTTTTTTGGGGCCTAGCATATTCAAATCTCTCCCTAAGACTTTTGTGTCTAAGACATCGATTAAATCGTTTTATCAAATCAAAGTCCATGTTTTTACCACAGGGTCCTACTTTTTGTACCTGAATAAGCCTCAGCCGAAGAAGCAGGAATGCATACACAAATGGGAGAGAGAGCACATGTTTACTATAACAAGGGAAATAATAGATTTGTATAATTTCTTGTATTTGAGGGGTATCATAGCCTTTAAACATACACAGGACACATACCTCCTAGATGACATGCTAGGATTGTACACCATATTATACACACCGATATACACTGTCTACATATTGTCTCGTATCACTGGTAAAATAATCAGATTTATGGGGTAGAAATGTAAGCTGCCTTGGCATAACTATACATGACTATTATCAAATGTGACACTGCAAATCAGGGGTATGCATTATTTTAGATAAGGGCAAGCTATATAAAGTGCTACCAGCAAGGTCCCCCTTCTCTTTGCTAACTAGTTATACTTCTTCCAATCAATTCTTTTGGGTTTCTTGCTACTTCCCATTTACTGACCCAGCATTTTAATTTAACTTTCAGTGGGTGAGTTCACTATATAGAGCAGATTTCCCCAAACTCCGGCCCTCCAGATGTTGCTGAACTACAACTTCCATGATTCTCAGCCTATCTATTTCATTTATAGAATCATGGGAGTTGTAGTTCAGCAACATCTGGAGGGCCGGAGTTTGGGGAAGCCTCATATAGATGGTTGCAGTGACTTCCAACTGACACAATTTAGGTAAAAATTTAAAATAAATCTCCAACTCAAAATAGACAATTTAAATATAAATATGACTGTATGACAAACATTAAATCACATTAAATGCCCATTGATAGCAGCTGTTTTTTTTTCCACCTGTTAAGATAATTTGTCTAATAGAAGGCAGCATTATTTTCAATAAATAAACTTATTCTACAAATTACATTAGCATATAATACAACATTCTTTTTATGCAGTTTAGCCCTGAACACATATGGAAAAATAGGTCATAGGTGCTTCAAAAAATATCTTGTATTTCAAAATAAAATCCGAAAGAAAACACAACCCATCTATGTTTCAATGCCTCAAAACTTAAACATTTTTCTAAACACAACAGACACAAGTGCTGCATTTCATTTGCCCCACCTTACCTCAAAACAACCCCAGTGGTAATACAGGGCTCTGAAATGGCACTAAATATAGGGATATATGAACACAGTCAATTTCTTGTAAATATATTTAAAAATGTATTAAAATGTATTTTACAGGCTCTGCCACTCGGTAGGTGAAAAACATCACAGAACGTAAATAAGTAAATGATTTGAAAAGTTTTAAATTAAAAAGTGATCTTTTACAAGATACACATAGCTCCTTACAGGGTTATTCACTAGACTAGTTGGAACTAGGAATTGAAAGTGATTTTAAAACTGAATGCAAAAAGTGCCTTGTTTAAAACATATCGAAACTAAAAATTGGCAAACTCAAAACACATATGACATGAATTTCTCAAATTCAGCTATTTTAGCCCAGATTTCACAATTCAGTTTTCATTCACTAGGAACTCCCTGCAATTTACATTTAAAAGATCGTGACTCATCATACTCACACAGTCTCACACACACACACACACACAAACACAAACACACACTTACTTTGTGTACCACCGTTGAAAGCAGTCATGATGGCACCTGACAAACTTCTATTCAATGTTGAAGTCAGAGTGTACCTTGTTAAAATAATCCGTACAAACATTCTCCAAGTCTTTCCCACAGTATAAAACTTTTCCATATTTCATTTGAAGAATTGTGAATTTAGCCAATCAACAAAGACTATTTTACTAAATTAAAAAAAAATACATAGAATAACATGACTGGCTCAGCTGGTTTCGTTCCCACAAAACATTACCACAAGAGAAATTGTAGGCAGCTATCCTGCAATCAAATGAATATCTGGCACCCAGTCAAAAGCATGGATTCTTTGATAACTGGAAGAAAGTGAACACATAAATTATGATAGTTTTTCCTTGCAATGTATTTTACAATTATTCCTTGTAATTTGTATGTGCCTTTGGATCTTTATACATTAATAATTAAGAAAAAATGTATATTTTTTCTGAATTAAAAAAACCCAGCAATCAGTGTAATTTAACCAGACAAGCTTTCGCTCTCTCCAGAGCTGTTCCAGAGCTTGCTAATTTATTCTCCATAAAAAAATCATAGATCAAACCTTATTCTGTCTGTTCTTGTGTTCTAATGCACATTCCAAATCAAACAACAATTAAAAGTCAGTCTGTAATTTTTAACATTGCCTATAAAAGGCTGGGTTCGAACTCTTTAACGAGGGAGCATTTTTTCCTATTAATGAATACACTACAATTTTACAAGTGACTGATGCTTGTTATTGATTACCAAATACATTTTGTTGCATGCTGCTACCATTTTAACTAGCAGATTTGGCTTGATAATTTCTAGCTCTGCAGCAGATGTCAGATAACACAGGGTTCTTTACCAAAGTGTGACTTATAATCAGGGCCGGCCTTGTGGCACCCTGTGCAAAAAATCGTCACAGCGCCACTCCCTGGTTATACCCTTCATTTATGTATAGTTTATGTAAAGGGGATTTATTACATGTGCGCGAGGCTCAATGGCTGTGTGTGATATGTATGGTATGTGTGACATTTTTAATGGGTGTATTAGTTGTGTGTGCAGGGCCGGTGCAAGGATTTATGCCGACTTGGCAAAGATCCATTCTGCCACCCTTTTATGTCACTCACTCACTGACAGACACACACACGCTGACACATATAAACTCACTCGCTGACACACACACATACAGAGAAACTCACTTACAGACACACACACATTGACTGACAGACACACACACACACACACTGACTGACAGACATACACACACACACTCACTGACAGACACACACAGACACTCACTGACAGACATACACAAATACACTTACTGACAGACACACACACATTCATTCACTGAGAGACACTCATTGACATACATACACACACAGACAGACACTCACTGACAGACAGACACACACACTTACTCACAGACACTCACTCACTGACAGTCTGACAATCAAACACTCACCTCCCTGGGGTCCAGTGTGGGGCAGCTCCTCACTCCTCCTGCTGTTTATTATGCTGGGGCCGGAATGATGTCATACTCCGGCTCCCGGCATCACAGAGGGTGCGAACAGCCTCCCTCGCCGCCGGGCTTCTCCTGGCTCTTCCAGTCACCGGCATTTGATGGCAAGGTAAAAAGGTGCCTGCTCTGTCATACTGAAGGACAACTTTGGAGGCGCCCTGAGGTGACCAGATGGCCACCTCCTGGGCCCCCTGTGACAGGGCTCCACTGGGTGCCCCCACCTTCGGGCGCCTGAAGGATCAGCCCGGCGCTGGGGGGGGGGGCGTCTCAAGAGCAGCTCACCCAGCACTGTGGCCCAAGACAGGGGAGCCCACTAGGAAATATCCCGGTGGGTGCCCCCAGCAGGCTGGCGCCCTAGGCGAATGCCTAGTTCACCTAACTGTGGCGCTGACCCTGTGTGTGTGATATATGTATGCATATGTTTCACTGGCTGTGTGTGGTATTTGTGCTGGGGTTATTGGATTTGTGTGATGGGTATTTAATTCATATAACAGTATGCATGTAGGCCCATGTATGTATCAAGCTTGAGAAAAGCCCTGTTAGGGCTGAAACGTTGCTATGTAGTTACTGGTTCAAATAAATTGCCTTAATCTTGGAACCTGTTGGAGTGCCTGGATTATTTTCTATATTTATCTATCCTTGGTCCTGACTGGGTACTGGGACTTTCCATGAAGCACCCTGGATTCCACAGTGAGGAGTAGAGTGCACTTCCATTTCTATTTGTATTATCTGTGTGTGTATACATGTCAGTGTGCTTCTGTGTCAGTGTGTGTACACACATCTGTGTGTCAGGATATGCATCTGTGTATGTGCATCTGTGTGTCGTTGTGTGTGTATTTGTATCATGTTGTGTGCATGTATCAATGTTTGTATGTGTCAGGTGTAGGCGTTTGTTAAGGTGTGTGTATGTGTCAGTGTGCGTGTATGTGTTGGTGTGTATCTATGTGTGTGTATGTGTCAGTGTCTATATGAATTTGTGTGTATGTATATCTGTGTAAGTATGTATGTAAGTGGTAGTGTATGTGCAAACATCCAAGCAGTCATACACCAGCACAACATACAAACACACTCCTGACACTATAGTGATCCTTT